CAGTGTAATCCAAGATTACAGCCTTTGTCATTCATAAATTAGCAAAACGCTGTTGCAAACTCATGGACTGGTTTCATTTGTTTGTCCTGGGGCATTGTAGGTGTGCTATGTCGTAAGGTGGTAAGAAGAGTGAGCCAAAGTTGATGCAGAAGGTCTTTTTTTCTTCCCTGGCTCTAGCGCTGTTCCTGTGTTCAGGTTTAGCCTGTCACAAAGCTGCTTGGCTGGAATACAGATCTGTCTGACAGCTGTGCCCATCAGCAGACAACTTCATTAAACCTCATTAAGATGTCATTTCTCTGCCTTATTTCCCACCTCTTGGCTCTAATTAAAACCATCTCTCTCTGCATCCCAGGCGGTCCTAATTTTCTCTGGGTACTTTCTGCAAGTTTTCTCCCTTTATGACCTCAGTGAAGGAAAATCCAGCACCTTAAATGCTGTTTATCCAGCCTGTTTGGAAAAGACAACTCCTGACTTTTTTCCTGAAGCATTCCCAGAATGTCCTGCAGAGATCATCACCTCCTTCCAAGACTGTAAGAGATGTGTGCTGAGGCTTTGTCTGCGTTCTTGAGCTGTCTCTTAGGACAAAGCTAATGCATCCTTTCCCCTTTGACATGATAATTTTTATGGTTGAAACAGGTGTGCCTTAACTGAGTTCAGAGGGCGCCACGCTCAGAGTGGCTGCAGCGCAGCGGTGGGGGTGTTTGAGCAGCAGGGATACCCTGGTTGTCTGAAGAGTGAGCGGCATCAGATGTCTTGATCTCCCTGGCCCTTGCCAGGTAGTTTCCAATTTGTTCAGCCTTGGATTTGAGCCCTAGATTTGTATTTGAATGTCTAATGTTGTTGGAAAATGTTCACTGTGAAGAAAGAGGACGGCTCAGAAATGGGCATGTTTGTAAGAGGTGGGTGCGTTGCAAAGGTGTAAGGAAGTACAAAACCTTCAAGCATTCTAGGTTTTGTTGCAAGACTTATTTGCGCTTCATCTCCTCATATTTATGGCCCATTGACACACGTTGCTTCAGTTTCCTAAAGACTGAGACTGTGAGAGGGGTAGGACATGTGTCTGTGTGGAGAGGTACAGCAAGAGATGGAGGAATGGATTTTTAATGTCTGTATCTGAGGCAGCCCTTTACCGGGACAAATCCAGGAATGCTCTCTGCTCTGACTCAGCCGGGGCTGCCCCCTCCCCTCTGTGATGGCTCTGCCCTGCGGACACCTGCAAACCCTGTGCTGGTGCATTTTCAGCCTTCCAGGCCCTGCTTCCTTCCCTACCTTCTGTTCCCCTCTTCATTACACCCCCTTGTACAGTAAAGCCTCCCATCACGCTGCCATTACTATTATTATTGCAGATTTACTGCACTTGCAGAGTAAAGTGATTGCAGTGACAAGGCCCAGCATTTTTCCCTCCTTCCCCCCGCGACAGCTTGAAATCAAGCCCTTCATTTGCATTTACATGATCTTGCTGTGCAGCTTATGAGATCGGGAGATTTATTTGCTACTTAGCTTGATGTTTGATTACACTCTAAGAAGGCAGTGAGCTACAAAGTGCAGGGATACATCAGAACTGAGCTACTGAAAGCCTCTGGGGGACAGTAACTCAACATCAGGTTTAGGTAGATGAGAAGGGGAATGTTCAGTGTTTTGAGAAAGGCAAATTTGATGAGATTTTTTTTTTTTTTTAACTGTGGAGGGAAAAATGTACTTCCCCTCTCTTAAAGAAAATTGTTGCAAACCCAAGAAGATTGTTAGAAAAACATACCTGAAAATCTGGATTTGTTAGTGCAGAAGAAATCCTAGCAGGGACTGGTGGCTGCTGGGCTGCCTGCTGCTAACTGCTTGTAACTTGCACTCCCGAGAAGATTATTAATAATAAGTTGGCAGTTATCTCTGAAGATTTTCATAAACATTAAAGGTCAAAGTCAAAATAAATTTTGTTTGACGAAAGACACAAAATCTGTCCCTCATTTATTAAGCTTCACGCATGCCACTGAGCACTAATCCTGCTGTAATAATGGGGAAACTGAGGCAGGGAACCAGTGTGCCCATGCAGGACAGCGAAGGGAATTGAGTTTTGATTGGAGAGAAATGTGGACCATCTGCAGTACTCTACTGGGTTCAGAGTGGGAGATCAAATTATTAGTATCCCACAGCGGTGTGAATGTCTTCCAGAGGAAAGGGTGATAGTTGGGCAAACTGCTGCCCTCAGAGTCAGGAAGGGTAAAGCTCAGGGATCTCGCTGTG